TACTAGCCAGTATGCAGTTTACATGTACATAGCGTTACTCTATTTTCTGATACATTCGATCAAACTGCATAAAGAAATGACTGCATGTGCTTTGTACCGTCTGATCTGTGGAAGGGGAGACAGGCAGAGGATAGAGGCAACCACAGCGCAAGGGATGGTAAATGGAGAAGCAGTGAAAAGCAGACAGGAACATACAAAGACAGAAAGGGATTCATCTGATGATGAATCATGATTCATCTGCAACTAGAGCAAGTTGTGCAGCGCACCTAAGCAGATGGTTTCCTACCTTGCTGAGTCAGTCTTAAAGGGAATTCTACCAGTGTGAGATTGGAATGAGGTCAGAAACAAGTAAAGTGGAAGAAGAGGCAACACAAATAGGCAGCCAGCACTGGAGAGTATGACATAATATTTTATCTAAGCAATCCTCCCATTGGGTTAGGAAATACAGGAGAGTCTTTATGAAAACACAAATCAATGTTTATCATGTTTCAGACTAACATGGGTAAGAACTCTATATCTGTAAATTAATGAATTTACAAAAGAAATCAGTGTCAAAAAATGTAGGCAGTGAACTAGGTCTGACTGAATGATCCATATTTATGATGCTAAATTTGCATTCTTCAATAAGCAACCAAACACATTCTTTCATGAAGAATTTAGGAGTTTGGGGTAACACAGTATCATATGTAATAAGTTCCATCCCAGACAGCATATATGATACAGAGAAAAAATGGAGAAGGAAAGTCCTACAAGCAAATTACAGTGGGGCCCACACAATAAAAAAGGGTGAAAGTTTGGAATGGCTTGAATATTTGGAGTGGGTTGAAAACTGGGAGTAATGCAAGATAGCAAATCTTGCCAAAATATTTATGTCTCTCTGACCTATGCAGGTTAGATCTTCAGATGAGAATCTGTTTGTAACAGGGGCAGCTAATAAAAAGTAAAATTTATGGTTTTCTCATCGTAAACACTGCCCCAGATGTTCAACCACAAAGTACACAGGTTAACCGCCCAACCAAATGCAAGGATGAAGATCAATAAAACAACATCAGGGTATCCTCTTACCAGTAAAGGCAGAATATTTGACTAAAGAGCAGACAGTATATGGTATCTCAGGTGACTCCTTAAAACTCTTGCCATAAAATTATTAAGGATGTTAATATGAGAATTGCAATCTGAAGACCAAAGACCATATTTTATACTGTCCTTCTTTACAAGGGGAGATACAGAGTGTATTTCAGAACCTGGGCAGGACTGAACCTATCCCTGATGGGTTATGAGAAGTTCACATAATAAGATAAAACCCCTAAAGCATGAAAGATAGAATCATACTGTCCTTGTATTTGATCAGATGTAATTCCACATGCACTTTATTCTATATCCTAGCTGTATCCTATTTTCTGAATTTCTGCACAAAGAATAACATTGGAATTAGTATTTGTGACCCCATTGCTGCGCACTATGAAGTACTGTCACAATCCCTTGCTTTGCCCATCAGCTGGTTTCAAGGAAGGCATTACTGTATTATGGATAAATCTGGTTGATCACCTTGTACCCTTCATATTCTATAGCCAAGAGCATCCAGAGCTATAATGATTGAAATGCAAGATTTCCCTTGTTGTTTGCTAAGTAAGTTCAATAAAGCCTCAGTCCTAGCTCAAAATGCCTGTTGTCAGTTGCAAATAGGTTTTCTGCTATTATTCATAAATTTTAGGACTAGCTGCATGATTACGCTAATCCTCATGATAACACAGCAATAAACTTGCAACCTGTAATGGTGAATAGTCCCTGCAAATGATAGAAGACTGAGTAGATTTGTGAATGTTTATGCAGACCAAACATTTTGGTAATGTGTCCCAGTAGATTGTTTTCTAAGATTTTTTTTTTTTTTCCAGTTTTGAGACTCAGGAACTCTTCATCACATTTTACACAAAATACAGCTTTCTCTGCTATTGCTTATTATATGTGTTGGAGAATTTTTTCTTATTGAATTTTCAGATATCATTGATGATATACAGATAGAGCACATCTTGCCTCTAGCAAATTTGTGAAGACACCAAATACCTGGTTTTCTTAAGCTGTCATGGTGTCTTTAGCTGATAATACAATAAGAATGAAAGATGATTTCTTTGTCCATGTGAGGGGCCTTAAACCTGTGGGGAAACAGCTTTGCAAGCACATAAATGTTGCACCTTTTGGTTCTGCTTTGTATAGGAGACAAATAAAAGCAGTTGGCCTTGCTGAAAAGATAGAAATAAGCATACAGAAAAAAATTAACATAGTTCTCAAAAATTTCTGGAAGTTGGAAGATCAAATGGTTCAGAAGGTTGAGGAATGCGTGCAGAGAGGAATGGAAGAACAATCACGTAACTTTGGTTTCTTTGATTGACTTTCTTGTGAACATAGCACAATTAGTGATTGCTAATCAGTAATTTGCATCTTGGCTACTTTTTCCCATCCATACCTGATGACATGGTATAACAGGCTCAGGTTTTGACTGCTAAGCCTCTCTTTCTGAATAGCACAGACTTGATTTCAGGAAGTCAGCTTTCAAGGTCTATAGATATACAGATGCAAGATGTGTTATTGCAACTTTGTAGGCACACATCATTGGTGAATACTATTTCTATAAGAAGAGAAACAAGAGAAACTTGGCAAGTGCAAAACATTCCATATTCTTTTAGAGAATCTTTCCATGTAATGCCAGGTATAGTTTTAAGTGACTTCCTAGCAACTTTTGTCCTTTTAATCAGCTGTACCTCAGCATAGAAAGGGTTGCTATAGTTTACCATTTTGTGGTCAATAATTTTAATTTTATTTATTGTCATTGCAGAATTTTTAACTGGAAAGAAAGTCACATCCATCATTGTTTGAAATAATTACATTCTGCAGCATTCTGTGGCAGTGATGTGAGACCCCACCTTTTTCTTTGTTTCTGACATTACATTCCAGGATTATTTTATCAACATTTCAGTTGCTAACATTCAGCCTTGTGAGTGTTCACATGCATGATGTATCCTTCAACATTTAATATCCCACAGTGTTTTGGTTACTCATAAAAGGAATGCTAAAAATTTAGGATGGGAAACCTGATTGTTTCATCCATGTTGTGTTCCATCTATCTACCGCTGCTCAACACGAGAGCAACATCTCTGGTCAGACCAAACATCCATTTAGCAGAGCAGCAGATGCTTAAGAAAACAAGGTACATATCCTTCCCTTGAGATGCTCTCTCAGTTCCTGAAGCTGAGTCACTCAAGAACTACCTGATGGTGTCTACACAGGTGCCTATTTTCTCTTACTGGAAGAAGTAAATTTATTTTTTCTGTACTGACATTTCTGAAGTTTGTGTTTTCAATCTTATGGCTACTTCCTCTTCATCAAACGCAGTAGCCCAAGATGTGTCACATATTCCTGATGGTCAGAGTACCAGTTCTGTTTCCACACAAAACTGATCTGTTGTGGGATTTGGGATTGAATTTTCTGTTTCCTCTCATACCCATTACTGGTATGGTAGTTAACATAAACAGGTGTCAGCTGAAACCTCAACATACTGAAGCAATGCAAATAGTAACAACGCTGCACATCCCATTTTTTAGGCAAATAACCGCTAATGTGGAATTTGGCCCCTAAGTCTTCCACAGTCAGCATCTGCATCTTCTTCCATTGCCCTTTTCCACCTTGCAACACGTCTTCCTCCATGCACCTATTTCTGCTGGTGTGTGAGGTAGAAACACAGCCAAAAGTTAACATTTCTTCCTAGGTAAAAGAGTTTCCTGGAATTTTGGTAGCAAACCCTTGCTTCTGGAATAAAGTCCTTCTATTACTATTGTCTCTTTACAAAAGGGAGGGTGGGACAAAGTGGACTTAAATACAGAGCTGAAGCATGCAAAGAAACTGAGAAAAGCCTACTTTGTGTTAAGAGTTACATAGCAGAAACCCAGTAGTCCACCACACTGGATTTACTTATTAAATGTTTTGTTGTGGTTTTTTGTTTGTTTGTTTGTTTCTCCATTTAGCTACAGTTTCAGCCTCTCCCTTATAAATACCACTGTTGTGCCTGTCCTCAATGGCTTGTGTTTCTTGATCAAAAGCTATCTTTCTTCCTGGAAGAACACTATTCTTTAATATGTCATTTGTAACAACAGAACCATTAGGCCAATGGTAAATATAGTCCAAATTTCACTTCCTTACACTTTTCATTTTTGCTGAACTGAAGTAGATGAGAAAAATACAGAAACTTCAATGGGAATAATCTTGTGCAGATGGAGGAAACCCAGATGTATTTAAGTAGAGCAGCTCTTTGTCAGTCAAAGGAGTCCAAAGGACAGATGTGTTGTTTGTTAATCATTCAGAAAACCCTTGTGATTAGAAACTCCTAGATCTTGAAAAGGCCAGCCAACTAAAAAAGATACACTGTGCTCCAGCATTCATAGTATTCCACTTGGGAGAATAAGAGGATTCCTTGGCCAGAAGTAAGAACAATGTAAATAAGGTTATTATATTTAAAAAAAAAAAAAAATCAGAGTGCATGCCCTGGAGGATGGGGATATTTCAGTTCCATAAATCAGCAAGGAAGATCTGGCAAAGTTCAGTGTCCAACTGGCATACAAATTTAACAAAAAGACTAGTGCAGACATTTCTTTAAAAATCTGAAGGAAAAACAGAGGTAGAGACAAGCCAATGAATTAAAATCCTGTGAAAAGCAAGTGAAAGCCATTAGTAAAGAACCTAAAAGCAATACAGTGTGACCTCCAGAGAGTATCCCCAAGTGTACAGAGTGTAAGGGTGGAGAAAAAACAGAGTTCCAATGAGAACATAAATAAAAGCCTAAAGTCATGGAATATAGAAAGAGCTCACCATGCACTCAATTCTGTATGGGTAAGATGTTTTACTTTTATACAGTTCATTTGATACCCTAGGTTAGGATTGATAATTCCTGTTGCATTTAATCAACATCCTGATAGATTATTAAATAATTATTTGTATTACTTAGGAGACAGTCAAAATCAGGGATCTCAGGTGTCAAACAAAGATGAACTATATATCTGCTACCCCCAAGTATAGACAAATAGATAATACAACAACAACAAAAGAAACTAAGACTAGTCAACAGTATGATCGGTCATTTCACTGCATCATCAACATATTTATTTGCAGTATTTCTGTAGACCTCATGGCAAAGAAGAGGCTAAAGAAGAGTTTTGAAGTGTCTTTCCTAACCCATGGGGAGATCCCTCCAAACATGGAGGACAACTTAGCAGAAAGCAGAAGATATTTGCTTGGAAATCCAGCAGGGAAAGATGCCTTCACAAGGAAATGAATGAGACCCATTTGGTAGCAGTATGAGAGCAGCGATAGAGCAGTGCAGCTTGTACAATAACTGCAGCAGAGGAAAAGAGGAACTGAGAGGTTGAGCCAAGTTGGTGGTAAAGCATTTAAGAAAGGTAGCTAATGGAGAATGACAAAGATTTCAGTCTGGGCTAACAGGGACAACTGTATGTCCTGTTGAGATATTATACAACGTTAAGACATAGAATAAAAAGGAGGAAATCTGAGGCACAAAACCCCCACAGACAAGGAGGAGGGAATTGGAGAGGATCTGTTTGTAAGATGTGCTGAGGGAATAAACAGGGAGGTAGAAGAGAAATCAGGAGAAGACAGAGACACAGCAGCCAGACCAGACATGATCTCAAGCAGACAAGCGCAGTTGGATGGGTCAAAGGGGACGAGCAGGGACACTGATCAGAGATGCCGCAAACTCCGGATGGAGCTTCAGTCATGCTGAGTTATGAGGCAGCTGCAACAGCCACTAACAAAGACTTGGCTCAGATAAGCACCATAGTTAAGTACTGAGACACACTGGAACGGAACGGTACTGCACAGCAGAATCATCTCTTTTTCTTGTTATTCTTAGGTATAAAGATTGAATACTGTAGAGCTTCACAGTCCATCTGTTGGAGACCATAGCAATTGAAATCATATGTGAACAGTAGGACCCTGGTTTGGAAAAAAAAAAAAAAAGTAAAAAAAATCTTTGGACATAGTTCAGTAAATTTTTTCAGTCCAGCTAGGCACTGAGGTCTGGAAATAAGCAGGTGAATGCACCCCTGATCGCACAACAGATAAATCTATGATCAAGGCAGGTATCATTTTCTTCTATCCTGTTCTACCTTCAGTTTTCTTTCTATAAATCAGAGTTAACTATTCTACTACAGGTTTTATTTGTCATGTTTATTCTTGGTGTCATGGCCTTAAATATTTTTTTGTCTCTTAATCAGTCTGCCTCCTCACTGGTTGCTGCCCCTCCTCAGTATGTCTTTCTGTACCTATTTCATTTGAAAAAATAAAAAACAGTAAGAGATCAGTTAACAGTAACTTAAAAGTAAGATAAAACAGGCAACTGGGAAGTTTGCACCTCTCAAAATATATGGCATGCTCATCGTAGCATATTATTGTAGCTTATGAGAATGTTTATTGCAGCATTGGATCTGAGGAATAAAATTCTATAGGTCTGATAAGCAAGGATTTACAAGCTTAGCCATTTATTCCATCAAACCTACCTACACATGGAGAATTTAGTAAGGTGTTATAATATTTTCTAACTAGTAATACTAATGTTCTCTCGGCATGCATATTAGCTATCCTGTATTCAGTACATTATTTTCTTGTTTTGATTCTTTAGGAAAAGTGTGATTAACATCTCACTGTCTATAAAGTCCCACTGCTCTATACTTAATTTTCCTGTCTCAGTTATGTTAAGACTTACTGAATGAAGAGGGAGATCAAGATATTCCAATTCTATTGTTGAGTATTTCTTCTGTAAGTAGAAGACAACAACAAAGAGATCTGCCTCCACATCAAATACCTTCATCTACTTTAGGTCCAATGGCAGTTTTCCCATTTACATCAGAAGGTATAGTATACCCATGCATGCTCATGAAAAAATTACTCTTCTTTAGTATATTTTCTTTTCCATATGCAGCTGAGGGCTTGGGGCAGAATAATGTTAACAGCAGCAATGTAACTTAAAAACAACAAAAAACAGTGTGTTGATAACTACAAAATTACATCAGCCAACACAACACCTGGTTACCCATTGTCATTTCTGAAAATTCAAAAAGGATCTTAATAGCCACAAACTACATAACAGAATCAAGTTTGCATCTCATGCCTACTAATTCTGAGACTGAGTTCTGATCCAAGGGAAATTTCACACACAAATAACTCTTCGCCCAGAACAAAAAAGTGATTTGCCCACAGTCAGGTCTGATGTGGGAAGCCCTGTCAGATAACATTATGAATAAAACCAAAATGAACAAAATCATTTTCCATTTGAGTGACAGAGTTTTTGCCTAAAAAATATCTTAAGTGCAGATCAAGTTTTAAGTAAAGAAGTAAAAAATTACTAGAAGCCTTTCAAGAATTACGTAAGAAAACAAACATTTGATCTGGATAACTGGATGAATTTCTTGCTATTTCATTTCAACATTTAGGTTCTCATAATTTGAGGCACAGCCTAAAATTAAGAATACATGCTTAAAAAAGAAACTCTTGACAAAGTATGATCTGCCAAAAACATTCATTTCATGTTGTATACCATGCAAACAAGTATTAAATTTCTGTGAATTCACTGTTACTTTCATAGTAATGACTGTTGTGGACAGCAAGTAATAACAGAGGCAGGCCAGCACAACAGATCTACAGCAAAATATGTGGACACATCATTTTATGTAAACCAGCATTTAGTTATTACTGTTGATTTTGAGGAGCAGTGTTGCCAGCTGTCACAAAATGCATAAGCAGTTCATAATCATAATAATAGTTCCTCAGACAGCTGCAAGACCATAAGCAACCAATTTTTATTCCTCAAAGGCCTTCATGAAACATACCATTTAGTTTAAAAAAGGACGGCTATTTCAGAATACATACACCAAAAATAAAAAGGAAAAAGGAAATTTCTCTGTTAAATTAAATGGATTTGTAGAGTGGCCCAGCCAGTACATTCTAAGCATCCAAAAAGGAAGCTACAGTTACAAGACATACAGGACTAAAATACAGTAGATCAGTTTACACTATGAGTTTAATTTATTAAATTAAACTAGATCAGCTGCCTTCATCAGATGAGGGTTTCACACCTTGTCATTCTTACTAAACAGAAGATTAACTCAAAGTGAACAAGGTTGAATCAATTAGTCCAGGCCTACTTCTCTATAAGGGCAGGAAGTTTAGACTTGGATAAATGCTGAGCAACAGTAAACAAACACAAATCTTCATAACCTTCACATCATTGTTGCTCATTGCCACCAGCCGGATTTCACCTCCCTCTACTACATTCCATCAGAAGCCATGTTATGACAGTTCCTTAGCACAAAGAACAACTCGTGCCAAATGAGGAAAATGGGTTATTGTCAAGCAGAGACCTGGAGATGAGAAAATGAAGCCAGGCTCTACACGGCACAGAAACACTTAACAGCAGAAATGGATGAGAACTGAAATTCAACAGAAAGTGCATAAACAAGGCAGGTTTCAACCTCAGTTTTCCTACAGAAGCTACAGAAGGATGTAAGGATTGGCCTACTGACTCAGACCAAAGAGCCCATACTTATCCAGAAGGCTAACTTGGACAGTCACTAAAAGACAGCAAGTAAACCTGGCCAACTTCTGTGGCCCACACAGAACGGCTGAGTTTGGGAGGGACCTCTTTAGATTACCCTGTAAAACCGCCCTTTTCAGCAGGGCCACCTAGAACAAAGAGGGCTTTTGAATATCTCCAAGGATGGGGACTCTATAACCTCAATGGGCATCTTATTACAATGCTTGACCATTCTCACAGTAAAAATATTCCTGTGTTCAGATGGAATCTCATGTGTTTTAATTTGTGCCCATTGCCTCTTGCCCTGTCAGTAGGCAGTCCTGAGAGTCTCCCCTTTTCTTCATTCCATCCATCAGGTCTTTACACACATTGGTAAACACATCCCCCTGCTCCCCTCCCCAACCCTTCTCTTCTCCAGGGTAGCAGTTGCAGCTTTCTCTTCCTCTCCTCGTTTATGAAATGCTCCAGTTCCTTAAAATCATCTTTTTACTCCTTTGCTGGACTTGCTCCAGTAAGTTCATGCTTCTGTTGTACTGGGGAACCCATAAATCTAGATGTGTCTCACCAGCGCTGAGCACAAGGAAAATCACCTGCTGACAATACCCTGCCTAATGCAGCCCAGGGGGCTGTTGGCAGCCTTTGCTGCAAGGTCACATCTCTAGCTTGTGTTCAGATGATTGCCCACCATGACACCCAGGTCCTTCTCTGCAGATCTGCTTTCCAACCAGCTGGCCTCTATCTTGTACTGGTGTCTCAAGTTGTTCTTCACCAGGTGCAGCACTTTGCACTTTACTTTATTGAACTTCATGAGGTTTCTTTCTGCCTGTCTCTCCAGACTGTAGATGTCCCTCTGAATGGCAAAAAGCCTATCTGACATATCAACTGTATGAATCTGGATGAAGAGGTGGGTTCATCACAGTTTTGTTCAGTATCATGATGACCCCTTTAGTCTTTTTATCATTATTCTCTCCAGGATGCCTAACATCTTGACAGTTTTGGCTGCCACAGCACATTAAGCCAACAGTTATGTAACTGCCAGTGGTGATAAAATCTCTTTCCTCAGTTGCAGCATTCAGTTTTGAGTACAGTTTCCTTCTTTTTAGATGCATAATCTTCCAGTAATTTACACATTTCATCAATTCATCCTGTTTTGTGAGGTCCCTATGTGTTTCTGTAATGCAAGCATGACATTTTTCCAACTAGGCAACCTAGTAGCAGATGCTGACACTGCTCCAAGCCCTTCGTCCAGAGCATCCATGAAGACATGGAATAAATCTTTCATTGGTACTTTCAGTGGTCAAAGTAACCACTAAATCCTATCCTATGCTTTCTACCCTTTTACCAGTCTTCAGCCCCAAAGGAACTTTTTCTGCACTCACATGGTGACTTACGTGGCTTTAATAAACTTTGGTATGAAAATCTGTCAAGAGCTTACTGAAAATCCAGTACGTCCATTAGATCCACTTCAACCATGCATTTTTTGATACCCTTGGAGAATTCCAATAAGCTAATGAGGCAGGACTTCTCTTTAAAGAAGCCATGCTAACCTCACTGAAACGTTTTCATGCATTTACAGAGTGCTTTCATTATTATAGGCTCTCATCTTTACAGGGAAAAAAGTCAGACTCAGTGGTCTGTAATTCTCAGGATCCCATATAGTGCCTTTTCCTAGTGGCAATCCACAGTCCCTTGGCACAGTTATTGTTTGCTATGAAGCAATAGATTACACTGGCCACAAACTCTGCAATTTTATATTACTTATTATTCATACATAAATTTTCTAAGGTTAAATCTATGACACAAGAATTTTATTTATTTTATTATTTATTTATTTTTTTTACATCCTCTACCCTTTCCCCAAGTTTTCCACTATATCAGATTCCCTGGAAAAAGAAGCATCAGCACAAATATTCACAAATTCACAGCTGAAGGAAAAGCTTCTAGAACTTGCTCAGTTTTCTTTCTTTTCATAACTATATTATGCAGCAAATGAAGACTCCTAAAAATCACGGCATGAAAAACATACCAAATATAGGAAGACCATAGAAATATTCAGACTATGCAACAGAACTGCTCAGAGTTTGTCGTTTTCCTTTGCAAGGGCTTGTACAAACATTCTGTTCAATTTCATATCTGTGGGAGTTTGCATCCCCCGCATCTAGTGTTCAGATACAAAGTCACATGAACCCTTATTCTCATAATAAACATGCCCAGCTATATCTCACCTAATTTTTCCGTGGCGCTGAGTTTAATAAAAGCTGGATTTAACTACATTATTTGGACAAGACTTATTAAAAGGTTTCTGATATAGAATCATTATTTTTTTTTCCATCTGTGCAGGCTCACCCCTAAGTTTATAACGAATGCTGAGATTACAAGAGGATCTGGTACCTTATGATATTTTGCATGACACTGGTTCTACAGAAAAAGATAACCTGGAGATTAATTTACTGGCTCCAGGATATAAACCTATCCTTTTGCAACTGAGAAAATAAAGAAAAATGAAAAAACAAACAAAACAAAACAAAAAAAAAAAAAAACAAACCACCATCATTCACACTAACACCACTAAGTATTATCAAATGAAAAAGTTAAGGTGAAATACAACACAATTTTCAAAAACATTTCATTTTTATGAATGAATTCTAGTGTTTGGCCAATATATATCAGAACAAATTTGTCTGCAATGTCCACCCAGTGGTGGACATTGTGCCACATGAGACACCTTTTCTTATAGCAGTAGATATTCTTCAAACACGTGAATGAAGGCAAACTTTATAAGTGCTCATATTCAGACTTCAGATAATTACAGCTTCACTGCAGTTTAGGCTTCGGCATTTTTACTTTTCAATAGCATGCTATCACACTTGTGATATAACCAAATAATCAATTACCAAAGCAATCAGAACTACAAGTAGCTAGCTCTTTCAAAATTGTCCTTAGTCTGGTGTTGTGTGTTGAAAAAAAAAAAAAAAAAAAAAAGATGAAAATTTTCCTAGTACAATCATGACTTTGAAAGGTGCATTTCCTTTGTTCTAAGTACTTATTTATCAAAGTATGCACATCACAAAAAAAGTATTGTCATGCCATGTATCATTGCTGAAATATTTGGTTTACTCGCGTTTGAACATGCTCTCTCTGAAGCTGTAGATCCCAGCTTTTCAGCCCTCTATGTACAGTAGGAACACTATATTGTGTTTCTTTCACCAGAGACTTTGATAATAGAGCTCTGTCGTGCTTCCTTGTTGGAGTTTGCATTGCCTTAGGCTGATTTAGAAGGCCATCTGGAAATTGCAACTGATTAATTAGCTGTGAGCCTATGATGTGAAGAGGGCAGATGGAACACAGCACTTCATTGCTCCCTGCTCTGCAAGAGCTACCAATCCAATACTAGACCCACATCAAGGCCCCAGTCTCTTTCCAGGAAGATTTAGGTGTATCTATCACAGTGATTATATTTCCTCAGCTGCTTTTTCTCCCAGTTCTGTTCAGTGGAGATACCAGTGCTGATAAAGATGATGTCTAAAAACCATGAAGGAAGGGAGCTGACAAGAGTGTTTTCAGCATAAGTCCAGACTTGTAGAACTGAGGCAAAACCGGTCTGGTTTTATATGTATCACTGCTAGATGTATTTCCAAATGAAAAGCCATGGTATTATAAATCTAATTGTTAACTATAAGAGAAAACAACAACAAAACAAACAAACAAACAAAAAACCATACATCTGAGAATCCTCTTGGCCACTGTGCATATACCAGATTCACTTGCACACATTAAATAAAATCATATTTACAGGCTCTTACTTTCTGGTCAGAGATATGTACGCCCTACACTAAAGTTCTGGTGCTGTAAGTAGCATAAGTATCAAAAAGCAGCTCTAGGCTGAGGCAGAGAGGAAAGCTATTCATCATCCCAAGATTTATCTTCCCCACTGAGCCTTCCACCTTACTCTGCCTATACACTCTCAGTGAAAAGGACATGATGAAATGAATATCAATGAATACCTCTTCTTCCTTCTTCATGCTACCATACTTCTGAGAAGAAAAAAAAAAAAAAAAAAAAAAAAAAGATTCATCTCTATTAGTTTGTCTTGATAACCTTGTGCTCAGCTTGAATTTACAAAGTCAAGAGACTGAGCTGGCTGATCCCTTTGGCCTAAAAACTGTGAGTAATGTTAGAGAAAACAATATCAAAAAGAATGAAGATTTAAAAAGTGACTCTTTTTCATTCTCCAGTTTAGCTATTGTGAATGTCTGAAGACTAATAGAGCACACAATAGAAATGGTAAGTATATTATTTCTCTAGATAAGGTAATTACACTTCGGAGCTCCAGGCATGAATCAGTACCCCACTGTGTACAATACAAGGTCTTATGCAATCACAGAGGAATATCTGATGCAAACATTACAGCAAAGTGAGAGAGGCAGAGCTTATTTACTCCATTTAGAGTTATTGCTATGTATAAACTAAAAGTAATCAAGCAGCTCTGCATTTCTTTCTGGATGCAACTGTCATGGATATACTAATCAAGGAAGATGAAGTTATCTAACATAGCACGTTATGCAGAAAGCAAATTATTCTGTCATTCTCTCCTTGCTATTTTGTCAGCTACTTTTACTTGAAAATTAATGAAGACAGAGAAGTAAAAAAGCATCACCTTTGATAACAGCTTTTTTTGCACAAACAGTATCATAACATACTAGCTTAAATTTAAGTCTCACCTCTTTCAAATTCATTGCTGATGAAATATATATACATAAGCATCACTAAAAGCTGCACTTTCAGAGCTTTTCTGAGAAACTTGGCCATAACTGATATTTAAGAAATCAACAACATCAAACATTTGCCAGAAGGTTTCCAGTACGAGAGGAATGTAGTACTATAGCACATTTGCAAATAATGCAGAGAAAGAATTTAAGACAGTAGTTGTTCAATAAACATGTTTACAAATATTTCATTGTACTTAAATTAAAATGATATTTCAGTCTAGATTAAAATACCAGGCTCGGTATTTACACTTCAAATCCATTTTCTCTCTTTAAATTACTTACAAGCCCACGTTTTAACATACTAAACTCCTGATGAAAGGCAGAAAAAAAGCCACCAAATGCCCACTCCAAAAAATCCTTCATTCCACACTGAAATCTGAAAACAGAGTCAACCTCTGCCTATTTGATTCCATCATACTTGCTGGCATTGGCCTTGCTATTTTCAACTTGTCAAACAGCCCGCTGACTAGCTATTTTAACCAAATTATAAATATTCCAGGAGCAGCCCAAAGGAAAGAAAAACCATACATCTAGCCTGCAAAAGCCTTCCAGTTCTTCAGTATTTTCCAAGTGGATAAGTCTGAAAATCTTTATTTTTTCCCCGGTAGGGTAAATCATGTATCGAATGTTAGCGCATACATTAAAGGACTCAAGCTCTTTGCTTGTCTACAACAATTTGAGGAGTCCAAGGCTCCTGATATTAGCTAACAGCAATACACATATATGCAAAATCTTGTTTACCTTTCCCTCCCATTCTTCTTCTCTCTTCTTCCTTCTTTAAACCATTCCAGTACCCGTGTCTTGACATATTGAACTCCACACGTTAGGCTGCTTTTGATTTGTGAGGAGAGTTACAATAGTTAATTACAGAGCACGGTCTTCTGTGACTCAAACATTTTGCATTTATAGGCTCTTGATATAGTCCAGAGCAAGAGGCTAACCCGTATTTAATTTGTCCAACACGTTTCTGGTTAAAGTTCCATCAAATGGGTGACTGGAATCCCTCTGATTCAGCTGGAAAAGTCACTTTGAAGGAGGCGTTTATTAGCAACATTTGCCTCAGTCACAACAGGAGGCCCTGAGGGCCTGGGGAAAATCAGTGGTTGCTTATAATAGTCAAACCCAGCTATTCCCCACAGGATAAAGTGTCAATAATAGGTTAGATATTATTATTTGGAATTGATTTTACAGCGGGTATAAAATTAAAGAAAGTGAGGCCGTTCCTCCAGGCGGAGGAGGCCTGGGCTTTGAGAGGCCCTCTGGCCTGACCCCCACGGCCCCAGCCCGGTGAGGCAGCAGCACAGCCGGCCTCCCAGCCAGCACCCAGCTGCTCGCCGTGGAGCGTGATTAACATAGCTGAGGGCCCGCAGCACTTAGCACAATTAAATCAACAGGCTGTAGTTCATTCCTCCAGCCTGACAGGAAAAAGGCGCAGAACCCAGATGCCTGCCTTTGCTTTCTTCTGTCTTTACATTTGCTGGGGTGATTTTTGCGAGAGTTTAATCCTCTCTGCGGCCCAACGTTCACACGAAAATTTAGTGCGCGTGTGATTTTTGACTGAAAACATTGAAAACCAGAGTATCATTAGCTCACAGTCTTTTCAAGTGATACATCCAGTAGTTAATTCTGAGGGGATTCTACATTAAAACAAGAAATGTTTTCAGCAGTATTGTGAAGGAATGTGCTAGGCAGCCTTTAACTGCAAATATGTTTCTTACACAGACTCGGAAACTTCCCTGTAGAGATGACCACAAACTCCTTGAGCACTGGAAGACTGTATCAACTGAGGAAAAAGACATTCTGTAGTCTTTTACAGTCTCTTACAGTGTGTTATACATCATACTGCCCTGAGAAGACAGCCTAAAGAGAGAGTCCTGCCTTATCAGAGTGACTATATTACTATTGTAAATGCAATGAAATTACTTTGCAGAACACAGCAAAGACCTTCCTTAAAAATCTCTGCAATAAAAAGGCCCTTTTTCAATAGCAGCACTAAACAAAAATATGAATATGTTCTCTCTCTTTAGGGTCCCAGACAGGTGAGGTAACTGAAAGTTCCTCTTGTTTAAGCCAACAATTATTATTCTTTTCTGTTTATCTCACTGTCCCTAGAAAATTTAATGGATACTGCTCTAGAAAGCATTAATTTTCAAATGTTTCATGGAAGTTAAGCTCCTCATTGACAAACACCTCTAAAATTTAGCCTAAGCTTAAGACCTGAAATGCTATAGGCACTTAGGAACCTAAGTCGCAGTGAATCCCTAATACAATTCCTTTCTGAAAACGGACTATTTCATAAATCATCAAACATTTTGTCTAAAATAGCTGTTTTTGCCCTTTTGTAATCCAGTACAAATCCACTAGTCCAGTTAGACTTATATCCAGCAATATCAAGTCTAAATTTCACCAACCCTATGTAAAACCTTGATTATCCAAAGCTCATTTTCAATCCTGTTTTTGTTGTTGTTTGTTTGTTTGCTTGCTTGTTTTGTTTTGTTTTGTTTTGGTAGCTGTGTGGGTTCTCTGTTTGTTTGCTAGTTTGTTTTGGTTTTGCATTTTCTATTTCTGTTCTCTTCTCCCTTTGCCCCTTCACATTTGTCTATTTTGCCAGTGCTTCCTCATCTCCTCATCGCCCCTCTCATTAAAACTTCCAAAATTATTTTTAAGCATTTCAAGACCAGGAAAGCAGGAACGAATTTCATGATGTTCACGATATTTTGAAAGAAACCAGACTGTATCGAGAAAATGTTCCACATGGTGTTTTTTTTAAAAAAAAGGTATGCTGTTTTACCTGTCTCAGAAAGTCCTGTGAGCCTGAAGGTGGAAACCATTGTGCTCTTGATGCAGGAGGTACAAAGTGCATGGCCTGACTGAAGAATGAGATGATGAAATATTTGTTGTCTGCACCAAAATGCATTAGCCACAATAATTTCTTCTAAACCAGTCAGTGAATTGTTTTTTTCTCAAGGGAATCAAGGAAACATTTGCATACAAGCAGTGCTTGAATAGATGTTAACAGAGTGTTACTGTTACAGATACGGCCTGAGAGCACCACACCCTAATGCAATGTTCTTGACATTTGACAGCCTTGCATCAGCACACCACCCAGCTCTGTCCTGAGCTTTCACACAAGATGGTGGAATCCAACCAAGTACAGAGCAAGAGCAGAGAGCTCTCTTTCATGCACATCTGGGAGTCCCAGAGATAAGAATGCTAATACAAAACCATAGTCATCCAGCACTGTTTTGCATATTTTGGCATGGCCTTTCTACTATGCTTGCAGAAGGAAAAATACAATGTCCTGTATTTTCTCTACCTGCAAGTTGCTAACTAATTGTTAAATCTTCGTGGCAAATATGTTCTTGGGAACAGCAGGAACTGCTCTCTGTCTGTTGATACCTTGCATATATCTTAAATTACCCTCATTCTCTTCCCTAAGCTGTCATCAGACTATGAATCTCAGGGCTGGGGTGAACTTGGTAAACTTTCTTCACTGGCAGGGCTAAGCAAAGTTTGAGAAAACAGTGCCAGTATAAATACACATCTGACTTCAGCACTAAAAACTCAGCTGGGATGAGAGCTGGAAGTAAAAAATGGCTAATTTCACAAACATGGTAGGAGAAGGATACCTGTATCTTACACAGAATGCAACAACAACAACAAAAGTGTCCCAGCTTGGTACCTGGTTCCCATTATCAGAGCATCTTCTCTACATTACAGGAAAAGAAACAGCCCTCATGGGACCATGATTTGATTTACATCATCACATAACCAATACATTAAATAGTTATTGGAGATGATTTTTGCCATGTCCTTGGTGCAGTGCTTTCTGATGAAGTGTGCACAAAACACACATCTGGTCTATTAAGCTATGGAGACATTGTGTGAACCATATGGTAAGGGCTGATGAAAAAAGAGACCAGTGAAATCTGCAAACTTAAATACATTTGCCAGAGCTGGGGATCTGATTCTGGTAATAGCCAGTACCAAGCTGGGATAACATAATTAAAAACGTGTGATGTTACATGGCTCCAAACATAGCAGGAGATTCTAGTGAGAAATCTAACGTGCCATGTGAAATGCTGAACTTCATTAGGTGATGCTTCTAACCACCACATGACATTTCTAAAAAAATAACCTATCAATACAACCCATGATAGTGTGAAACTGTGCAATTTTCTCTCTCTCTTTACAAAAAGTACCAGCTTAAATAGATTTTGCCACTCGTGGAAAGAAGCTGCTAGGTTTCTACTTGGGTTTAGTATGCCTGACTAAAAAAAATAAATATATATATATAAAAATAAAAATAAAAATTCATAGACATCTTTGAAATAAAGCTTTGTAGCCAATTTTACACTTAAATTTCTCTAAATATAAATTATTTTTCAAGTAAGCTATTGGTCTATTGTATTAAAAGAGTTTGGAGCATTACGCCTGAATTTTTGCTGAAGGAGAGAAAAAACAAATTCTGATTATATAAAACTAATGAAAATGCCTTTGCGGGGCTTAAAAACTGGTATTTTAGATGGTCAATGACAAGATTTGGGCACACCTTTTCAAGTTTTCAGTTTTATTTCATATACATGATTATCCAATTTTTATTTTTTAAATAGGAGCAGGTAGCAGTGCTGGGTTCTGGTATTAATTACACATGGAAACAGAAAACCTGAAGTAAACCTGGTAGCATTTTAAGAATCCAGCTATTGTGAATTCATCTGGAATTCATTGGGCTACCCCTGGCGGTAATGAATTCATGCTGTATTAGTAGTAACGTCACATGTACACTAATAGATGTTCTACTGAGATCAGTATTATTTAATTGACTCAAAGGATTAGTTTAAGATCAATTTTCTTTTAACTATATTTTTAACATAGCTTTCTATTGAAGCTTCCCATGAGACAAAAAGACATCAGAGGAAAAATATTCATAAAAAAATATGCAAAATCTGACAATTTTGTCTCCCTAAAAAAGATACAAAAAGCATTAGAATTGTATAGTCTGTCCCCCATGTAAACAAATAAGTTTTTTTATAAAATAATTTTCTCTGTAGGAAACAAAATATTTAACTCTACAAAAGTGAACAGACACAGATTCAAAAGTGATATTAAGGCGCATCTAAGTAAAAATGACCTATCTTACATGGGGAAAAATTATGCAAACAATCCATAGAAATACTGAGCAGTATCACACACACATTTCTGCTTTGTCTGGCATGGTAAATAGGAGAACAAAAATAACATCGGTACCAGTTGCATGACTAGGATCTGATAAATAATGGACAAACAGTAGCTTGGATACTTCGGGTTGTATAGAGAAGACATCTCACCTGTTTGTAGTGTCTTGTGAATTGCACTAGAAACAACAATGTGATTGATAACTTAAGTCTTGTTTACCAGTAAGTTTCTATGTCCTTCCTTGATGAGAATAAAACAGGTCTTCCTTCTTCCTTTTTTTTTTTTTTTTTTTCTTCAAAGAAACTACTGCAAGGAAGTGAAAAAACGTTAAAAAGGGGATACATGGTTTGGAAAGTTCTACTTTTCTCAGATGGTCTGTTCTACCTAGAGACAAGAAGCCTTACAACTCAACTTTTCTTACATCAAGCAGCTGCACATTCTTATCCTTTTATTTCAGATTATCCACCTCCCTGATTTTACAGATCAGTAGCAGAAATTGCTCCTAGCAAACTTTGATGCAGTGATCATAAAAAAAAAAAAAAAAAAAAAAAGCAGACCTAAGAAGCAATAAAGAAGACCTAAACCAGAATTTAGAAGAGCTGCTTTCTTAGGAAGCAAAATTTACACATTCATGTATCAAATGTGCATTCATCTTTCTGAACCATCCCTCTCAATAACTTTAGAGCTGTCAGTCATCTTCAAACAGATGTAATAAAACAGTGAATGTCACAAAAGATTTTTAAGAAGATATTAAGTTTTTCAGGAACAGGCAAAAACTTACTTATGCCAACGTGGGACAAGAATGATGTCTCTCAGTCCTTAGTAGACATCAGGTAATCCACACCAGAGGGTATTCTGAATGCCCTACATGCGGAAAAAGCTTCCTGGAGGCTTGCAGCTTAGCAGGCCAATTCCAAGCCATGTTGTTTTGTCCTTTGTATTTTCTACAATCCTCTCCAATTCTGCATATCGCAACACTCTTTCCTTTTCTCTGTTCAGACTACTTGGCAATGCTTCTGAGGATGCAGTTCTTACTCCTTCAATATCATCTCTTTTGCAACCAACTTGCATGTAAAACATCATATGGTATTGCAACTTAAAACATGGCACTAAGGGAATTCAAACACAGCTTTGG